CTAAATCTGAACCACAGTGCCTGTACAAATTACAGGCCGCATAGCTCCTCAGGCTGCCTGAGAAAGTAGCCTGGGAAAAATATGAGTAGGAATTAAAACAATCCTCGGAGACAGAAAACAACTGCCAGGTGCTGTTTGTCTGTCCTCTTGTTTTCTCTTGCAGGAGAAAGTCAGGGGGGTAGTGTGCCCCTGACCAATGATGGTGATGTAGCACTTTGCTAACCAATAAGAGTTTCCTTTCTGTACTTTTCCATGTATCTGTCTATAAGACAAGCCTAGAGCAATAAACTAAAGAATTCTCGTGTTGAAACTCCCTTGAGAGTTTATGTCGTTTTTTATCGCCGTTCCCAATCGGAACGACATCTGGTGACCCCGACGTGATGTGCAGCCGACCCTCCGAGGTCTGGTAACCGACGTGACTTCTGCTAATCCCCTGAGGGTAAGCAGCGAGCGGGGAAAAAGCCAGCCCTTCCCCCTAGAGGGGTAAGTGGAATTCTCCCGGGCTTTCCTAGAGAAAGCTGGTTCTGGAAACCAATGGAATAGTACAGCCTGCCTGTGAGTGGGCTTGGAACGGCTGTCTTGGCGAAGCAGAGCTCAAAATCCTGGGTCTGAGCCGATAGCGTGTGCATAATTGCATTCGCGAAGCCGCCAAGATCAAGTCCTCATAATGGGGAACTGTACTTCAGCTGATGAACAGCTTGCCTACCTTGCATGGCAGGATGCCCTGCCCCGCATGGGACTTAGTGTTTCTGAAGATACCATACGCGCTTTATTTCAGTGGGTGAAAGAGCAAAGTTTTGTTGTAACTATGGACAATGCCTTTGATCTCGAGATTTGGCTGTCGATAGGAGACTATTTATGGTCGAAATTGACTAACAGAGATACCAGCGTGTGTGGCCTGGCAGCCACCTGGGGAGTGCTTTTTAAGGCGCTAGAACGGAGCCAGTCTGAGAATAGTGAGGCCAGGATAGAAGACTTAGAAGGCTTAGAGTGCCTCTTTTGTGTGACATGAGAGACCGAGAGATGAAACCGTAGATGAACTGCATGGTGCTCTTTCGGCTCTGCCCGGACCCTCGGAGGACTTTGGCGGCGAGCGAGAGCAATCTGCGGACCGAAGATCTCCCTCTCCAAAACAGTTTGAGCGCCCGCCATCCGCGGAGCTCGGCGTGCGGACTTTGCCAGCAAAGGGGCCTCTCTTTGCCCCCCACCCCGTGCCCGGCACGCGGGGCGCCGCCGAAGGGTCCGAGCGCGGGTCCAGAACACCGCGGGCCGCCGCTGCCGGGGGGCCCGGGCGAACCAATTCCCCTCTGTACCAATGCGGCGGGGCACGCGGCTCCCCCCAGCAGAGAAGCAGTGGG